AGAGGAAGTCCATAGGTAAATGATTTGAAATACATCTATCATTAGAGAAGGAATACTCCATGGCTAGCTCAAAAAGCATGCTCCGAAATCCCAACTCAATCATCAGAAGGCACTGCTGGGCGGCAGGCCTGTCCTACTGGGACTTCCCAGTCCAGTAAACAACAACAAAAAAGTAAATTGCTAAAGTAAAATGACCACTTTTGAAGCAAACGAGGTAAGTCTGTAAATCATTAAAATTGGACCCTAACAATCGGCATCTTCCAAACCATGGGGGAGCCTCACAGACCTGGGAGTCGGAAGGTCCAGTTGATTTCTGGAGCTCCAGAACTGCAGTCCCTTGATCATACCCCTAAATGAAGCCACGTCTGTTTAATCACATACAAAGGCACCTGGTTTCCAGACGTCCATGCAAAAACCTGTACCAACAAACCAAATATGGGAGGAGGTGATGATGATTCACATTACAAAAAGAATTCTTGGGCAGAAACTTGCCACTTCAGCATTCTTCTAGGTTGCACGATTCCTTCGGGCCTTTTGGATATCATGTGACCAACCAAGATTGGTTTTGTATAAATGTTTTTCCAGGCACAGACCTCGTCTGTGAAGCAGGAACACCCAGCTGACTTTGAACAGGGGGTCTTTCGCCAATGGCAGTGTTGAAAAGAAATAATCCAGGATCATTCTTGTCCTCTTGTGAAGTGAGCTGGGTGCATCGATCACGTGAACAGGGGATGCTAACTTGGTGTGGAGCACCCCAACCAGCTCCATGATGACAGTGACATTGTCTAGAACAATGGTGGCCACAGACAGAAGCGGCAGTGGTCTGTGTGGGTACACAAACAAATGTGCCAGGATGCTGCCTGGTCAGGGGCACATTCCAAGCTCCCAAAGACCTTGCCTACCTGAGAGGAGAAAATGCCCAGAGGTGTAGTTCCTTTATCATTCACCCAAATGCAGCCACTCCTGTCTTAACCAAGTATAAATGGCATCTGATTTCAAGGCTCCTATGTAAAAACCTGTACTAGCAAACCAAATAAGTACATGCGGGGGCCCAGACCAGTGGAGGTAAACCAGAAAGGCTTCCTGGAGGAGGAGGAGAAAGAAAAAAACACTGTAGTTGGGTAAGCTTCAGTGGGAAAAGGTTCAATTAAGGCTTTATCTGGCCAAGAAGTCAGTCAACTTCCTGTTTCTTCAAAGTGTCCATGTCAGAATGGCCTGGGTGGCTTGTTGAAAATGCAGACCCCCAAGCACTAAAGGTGAGGGGCTGGACAGGGGTGGGTGCTAAGAATATTCATTTTTAACACGTTCCGCAAACAATTCATTCTTATGCAAACCACAATTTGAACACCAGGGGACAGGTGGGGCAATCTCAACGTGAACAGTCTGCACTGCACTGGAGTAGATTCTAGAAAAGCTGCAGCGTCTGACTAGGGAGGACCCACCAGGAGACGCTGAGGACAGGGACAGGCAGGTGTAGACAGAGGTGCCTTCCAGAACTGTTTAGTCACAACACCCGCAACCCCTCTCCCCGCGAGACTTCCTGTTATGATCCTCATTGGAGCCGGCTAGTTACAGAAAACGTCTGTACCAGTTCACAAGGAGAGAGAAAGACGTGGATATCCTTCCGTTTACAAGCTACGGTAGGAAGGCTGGGAGTATTTCAAAAAGGAAAAGAAAAATCAAGTCTCGGCAACCAGACCCTAACATCAACACAGAAACTCTGTCCAGAAAACAGAAATCTGTTTTGTTGAGATTTAAGTAGCATCAAAACTTCCTTATCCCAAACAAACATCGCCTTCACTCAACGCAGGCAACCATTCCAAGTCGGAAAACACACAGCGATACTCAAAGCAGACAGCCTCAATTCACGCGTGCGTTACTGACTGACCATGCGGTCGCTTTATTGTAAGGACAGGAGAAGGGACCCTTTCCTGGGTTTCTTCAAATTCACACAAGTGGACTCTTACGCAAAGAACCTGGGCTAGCCTCCATCCATATCAGCCACCTCCAAAAATCCCTTCGGGCTAGCTCTCCTCACCCCAAATCTTCTCCTGGAAGAAAGTCCCCTAAAGAAAAGGAGAATCACTTCCTAGCCCAAAATTGCCTAACAATACCCTAAATCTGTTCTGAGTTCAGAGCAGAAATCCGTGTTCCTTCCCATCTGTTCAGATAACCAGGAAATGCTGTACCTGCTGGGTCTGCACGTTTAGCTCCCGACACACCTGCTACTGCAGCCGGCATGAGTCACCCACACAGGCATTGCACGGTGTACTTGTCAACCACGGATTCAGCGGCTCAGCAGCTTGCTCTCACGCACACCGGATGGCAACTGTCTACCCCCTAGAAGACATGTCAGGGCAGACTGGGTAATAACCCAATTTCACTCAATGACACACACATTCCCGCTATAGGTTTGGGGAGAGGAAAGGAGGGAAGGGGTACACAGAGATGCTTTCCCCACTTATGGGTAGGCTCCCATAGGCCCTGGAAGCCTGATACAGCTCTGCTACCGTCAGTAGAGGAAGGGCAAATTCACTTGGGGAGACAAATGGAAATGATGTCCCAATTTCAAACCTCCTCCTGAACAAAGCCTGTCTTCTGTCCCACTCCAGGTTCCCGCTTTTTACAAGGTCCCATTACAGGATCCCAAATTGGACCCTGGACCAGAAAAAGGACATGAGTGGGACAAATGGAGAAATCTGAATAAGGCCTGTAGATTAGTTAAAAGTGTGTGTCAATGTCAATGTCCCAGGTCTGATCGTTGCACCATGCATATATCAGACGTTAGCATTTGGGGAAGCGGGGTAAAGGATATAGTGGAGCCTTTGGCATTATTTTTGTAACTCCTGCAAATCTAGATTTATGTCAGAATCAAAAGTCAATTTTTTTAAAAAGACAGCATGTTAAATCTAGCTGCCTGATATATCTTACTTTATGGTATTGCTTAAAAAAAAGTACATCATAATCCCAACGGCAAATTTTAAGTTATTCTCCTACCAATGCTGATCAATTCTTTGATACAAAAAGAAACAAAACAAAACACTTCATTTGCTCAGCAGCCATTCACTCTGTGCGGCTTCTGTGTCCCCGCTCCAAGACGCAGTATTATCTGATGGGTAAGTGGCATCTTTTCCTCCAAGCCCATCTCAACAATGTCCAGAAATAGAGTTATCCCTTTGCTTTAGACATAACACTAACTTAAAGCAAATATAGCAATTTCTGGGAATTTTCCAAAGAAAATAATACGAAATGTGGACAAATCTTTATGTACAAAAAATGCTCACTGTATTACTTCTAAGGGTAAAAATTTGGAAACAACTTAGTGTCCAACAATAGGGAAATTGTCAAGCAAATTATGAGTCAATGCCTGCAGCAGAATACAGTTACCATGCCATCACGACATGGGGGAAATGTTCAAATAAAATTACACAAAAAAAGAGGAGGAGAAAAAGTTGTATATTTTGCAGGATTTCACCAGTGAGGAAATAGATCAAATTGCCAGCATTACTGTGTGAATTAGATGTTTTTCCTGCTTTGGGCACTTTTGTGTAGTTTTCTATAAAAGAAAGAGAAAGAGCATGGATTACTTTTTAAAATCAGACAGGGAGGAGGGGTGGTGGTGTTGATTATCAGTTTGCCTGAAGGTTTCAACTATTCCTCTCCCTGAGTCAGTCTGAGCACAGAACTGGGGTGGGAGCAGAGGGTGGGGAAGGGCCGCAGGGAAGGTGCTGCGTCAACCTGGGCAGTTCCAGGACCTGCATGGGGCCAGGGGCACTGAAGGTCCCAGCTCCCGGGGTAGGAGGTCGTGCCACCATGCACTGCCTTTTCTTCTTCCAGTGCTGCTTTACCTTCTCTTGCTCCTGGAGCAGTGCTCACTGGAGACACTGGGACCCTGAGCGCTGACCAAGAGCGATCCCTGACAGCGTCTAGATTTCTATGCAGAAGGGACTGCTGGGTGGGAAATGGATCACCGACAGGTTCTAAATGAGAACCTACAGGCTACAGGAGAGGGTTGAGGGGCGGAGGAGGGAATCCCACCTCTGGGAAAGCATCCTCAGGAAACCTGCATAGGTCCTGGAGGTGAGGACAAGTACCAAGGAGGGAGAAGGAAAAGGAGGACCCTGGTTAATCTGCACGCCAAGGGCGGAGTCGCTCAGTCATTCATTCAACAAACATCAGTGCCCACTCAGTGACAGGCACCGCGCTGCCCCCAAACAGGGCAGACACAAAAGAATAAGGGCAGGAGGAAGCTATGGATACAGAAGCGGTGTGCTTTCAGTTCCGGACTCAAGACGTAAGCCCTCTCCCCACAATGGCCAACAAACCACTTCCACTAGCAAGTTGCGCCAGAAAGGGGAGGTGGCGAGTGGGCTCACAGGACTGAATTCCTGCCACCTCCCACTTATTCAGAAAGCTCGTCCACACCCTGGCCAAACGCATCCCCGCGTCCGCCTGACGGGTGGCCCAGTCCTCGCCCGAAAGCTGCTCGCCAAATGCCCCGCTCACCCCCCAGCCCCAACGGTGAGAGGGGCTCGGCCGCGTCGCGTTCTCCAAGCGCTGCGCCCCAGCAGCGTCCCCGGTCGCCAGTGGGCGGACGCCAGGAGCTCATGGAGGCGGCACCGCTCCCGAAGTAACGGAGCCCGGAGGGTGCCCAGGCTTTAAGGCAAGTACAAGGGGCCGAGCGGGTTCGCCGAGGACGCGCGGGCGTCTTCCCCAGCTGAGGTTCGGCCCCTCCAGGCAGCCAGGGGTCGGCAGCGCTAGAGGCAGAAGGACGACGGCCGAGAACGCCCAGGATGGGGTGGTCGCTGACCACCGTGTCCCAGGCAAATCAGCTCCGCTTGGAGGCAGGGGGATGACTAAAATGACCTCCAAGAAGATGTCAATTGCAAGAACAAAAATTTCAACCCAGAATCTCGGGACCTTCGGAAAACGACGCGGAGGGAAAAAAGAAAGAAAAGAAAGTAAATCAGATCCCTTCCCCGAACCGCAGGGAAACTTACCTCCAGCTTGGCGACCCAGCTGTTAAGTAGAACGAATCAATCCACGGACGCAGAGGAGGTCGTGGGTCTTCTGAGCCCAGCTGATACACACCAAGTAATCCACGTTAAGGGGTCCGCAGCCCCCCACCCAATTCCCCACTTTCCATCCAAGGCCAAAGCGCCTGGTCCAGACCCTGTCCTCTGCGCTCCAGACTCGCGGAGGTCGCGGGCGGGGGTCCCCAAGCGGCCGCATTCTCTTCCCCAGGGGTGGGCGCGCGACGAGGGCGGCGGGGACTGGGCGCCCCGCGGACCCCGCGAGCGCATCCCGCCTCCTCGCGCTGGGACAGCACCCAGCCCGGACGCCGCTCCTCGCCTTTCTTCCCCGCGCATCGCCAGCGCGAACCAAAGATCCCCGCCAGGAAAACCCCTCTGCCAAGCCGGAAAGCGCCGAAGGCGGATCGTCTCTGGGACTTGGGTTTGCAGGTTCACAAGGCCCGGAAGGCTTACGGTGGGCGCCTGCCTAGCATAGGGTCCTTGGGGAGAAGCGCAGAACAAGAAATGCCAGCCTCGGTGGCCGCGTCCTCAGGCTACCAGCGCCGCACCGCGCACCCGCGCCGGCTCCGCGCTCTGTAGCCTGCCGGGCCATTCGGCCCTTATATACCAGGCGGACCCGCGACGGGGCGGGGCGGAGCGGAGTGGGTGGGGAGGGGGCGGGGGAGGCCGAACGGCTTCCTGGGAGTCGTAGTTCCGCTACGTAGTCCTGTCGCAGTCAGGACAAAAGTTAAACAAGAATGGAAACGGTTGGGGTTTGCCCACCACAGCTGTCCTCCTTTGCACCCTTCCTTCACAGACAAAGCTGGCATTCCAGTCCTATTCTCAATGCCGCTAGGTCTATTCTGGCTTTTGTGCATAAGGTGGGTCACACCAGCCGGGCATGCCGCACAGGATGGCAAACCTTAGTAGCCCTAGAGTCAGGCTATCCCAGCTGGGCCCCAGTTCTGGAGACGAGAGGTCCGAGGTTGCTTGCTTCTGGGGGCCGTGAGGGAGAATCTGTCCCGTGCCTCTCTGAGACCTGGTTGTCATTGGCTGTCTTAGGTGTTCCTTGGCTTGTAGCTGCCTTACCTTCATCCTCCACCTTTTACACGGTCTTCTCCGTGTATCTTTTCATAGTTTTCCCTCTGCGTGAATCTCTGTCTCTTCACACTGTGGTGTTTCCACAAGGATGCCAGTCATATTGGATAAGGGGCCTACCCTGATCCAGTATGACCTCATCTTAACCAATGACATCTTCAACAACCCTATTTCCAAATAAGGTTACGTTCTTGGAGGTCTTGAAGATTAGGACTGCAATATATTAATATTCTGGAGTTGGGGCAGTGGAACAATTCAACCCCTAACAGGTCTTCTATGCCTTGTTGCACCTGTTAACAGCTATTGTGACTAACCAACCCTTTTGATAAAAGCAAGCCCTGAGAAGCAAGGTGAAATCACAAAATCACTGAGGCTGTGACAGGAGAGGAAGCCAAGAACATTGGAATCTCCTGGGCCAGGTTTCCCTGTCGCCACTGTGGGATTGCTGGAGAGGAAATGGTCAGAAAAAGAAGGCATCAGGTTGGGCATGGTGGCTCATGCCTGTAATCCCGCCGCTGAGGTCAGGAGTTCGAGACCAGACTGACCACCATGGCAAAACCCCATCTCTACTGAAACTACAAAAAAAAAAAAAATAGGTGGGTGTGGTGGTGCACGCCTGTAGTCTCAACTACTAGGGAGGCTGAGGTATGAGAATTGCTTGGACTCGGGAGGCGGAGGTTGCAGTGAGCCGAGATCGTGTCACTGCACTCCAGCCCGGGCAACAGAGTGAGACTCTGTCTCAAAAAGATAAAAGAAGGCATTAGTATTGGAAGTAACAGGAGGCACCTGGGTAAATGGCGTTGGGGAGGGGAGAAGGTAGACAGGGTGTTTCTAGATGCTCCTGAAGCACAGACTTGATTTTCCACCTGCCACTGTGCCCAAGTTTTCCCCCATTCCAGTCCCAGGCTACAGGCAAGCTCAGGTCTGGCCCTGGAATCCTGGCTTTCACTGGTGCTGACATTCCCGGAGAGTCAGTGGCAGTGCAGGGTCTCGACTGGCCACCATTTCCACTCTGAACTCACAATCAACTCCTCTCATGCTTCCAGGTAAGAGAAAAACTGAAGCCAAGGTGAATGTCACAGGCAGGGATATCCGACCTCCCTAAACCCTCCCCTACAGGATGTTCAGGATAAAGCAGCTTTGCTGCTAGGAGTTGCCTGACCTTCTCCCCACTTCCCAGAACACGGGCTGCATGTTCCTAGCATGCGAAAGGGCATCCAGCTGTCTCAAAACGGTATGGGTGCCTAACGCTGACTCTGCATGGTTATTGTTTTCTCCTGCGTTGTACTTCATTCTAGTCTTCAATCTTCTTAAATTTCTGCACAGCAAACATTAGCCACTTGAATAATTAGAAAAATACAGAAATTAATTTTAACTAGTCATTTCTTTCTTCTCATTGCTGTGAGATTGATTTTCCCCAGGTAAAGCTGGAATCATGTCTCTTCCTTGCTCCTAAAACATCCAGAGAGGTATAAACCCAGGTTTAGCTTAACATAGAGATGACAGATACAAACATACATACATACATAACTAGATAGAGGTAAACATAAGAAATGTATATGTACATGCATTAGCACATACACATATATTTCCTTTCTCTCTCTGATGAGAGGGTCCAGAAGCAATCATTTAGCACCTAGGTTTGTTTCTTATACTATTGTCCAACAGAAGGAACCAGAGCTCATAGAGAAACAGCTGATTCTAGGACTGGGGCAGGAAATACGCAAGATGAGCCTGGAGCACCTTGTAGTGTCGGAAAGTAAGAAAGTGCTAAAACACACTGACACACAAGCACACACACCACACAATGGTGGGGCCATGACAGAGAGACACAGAAACCAACTGAAAGAGCTCTTAATTGCCAAAGTCAGGGAAACATTTGAGCAACAACTGAAGTAAAGTGGTATTAGATTATAAGCAAAGTATTACAAAAATTCCTGAGTTCGTATTGACATAATTAGGTGATTGGATAAATAAATACACAGGGGAAAAGAAATCTGTGCAGAAGAATTTCAAAAAATGTATGTAAATACTCTGCCCTCCAGAAAGTGGAGTATAACTCCCCACTTCTTAAGCGATGGCTGCACACAGTGACCAACTGAGGGATGGTCTACAAAACATCTGATCAATAACCCTCAAAACTGTCAAGTTCACCACAACCCAGGAGAGTCTGAGAAACTGTCACAGCTCAGAGAAGGCTGAGGCGGCTTGATGACTGAATGTGGTCTTCTGGATGGAATCCTGGACCAGAAAAGGGACATTAGGTAAAACTAAGGAAATCTGATAAAGTGTGGACTTTAGTCAATAGTAATGTACCAATATTGATTCATAATTGCTACAAATGTGCCATGTTAATGTAAGATGTAACAATGAGGGAAATTGAGTGTGGTCGTATTAGTTGGTTCTCACGCTGCTAATAAAGACATACCCAAGACTGGGTAATTTATAAAGAAAATAAGGTTTAATGGACTCACAGTTCCAGCTGGCTGGGAGGCCTCACAATCATGGTGGAAGGCAAAGGAAGAGCAAGGTCACATCTTACATGGCAGCAGGCAAGAAAAAATGAGAGCCAAGTGGAAGAGGAAACCCCTTATAAAACCATGAGAGACTTATTCACTACCAGGAGGACAGTATGGGGGAACTACTCCCATGATTCAATTATCTCCCACTGGGTCCCTCCCACAACACATGGGAATTATGGGAGCTACAGTTCAAGATGAGATTTGGGTGGGGACACAGCGAGACCATATCAGTAGGTATATGGGAACTCTCTGTACTATCTTTGCAATGGTTCTGTAAATCTATTCTAAAATTGAGATGTTATTTTAAAAGTTACATATTTAATATAAATATGCATATATATGGATATATGGTGATAAAAACAATTGCAATATCAACCCTCTCTCGTGTATCAAATTTTGTCCTTTTTTGAGTAGATTCATGGCTCTCTATTCTGTTCCACTGGTCAGTTTTTCTAACTCCATTATCATAATGTCTTAATTCTAATACCTTGTTTTCTTTTTTTTTTTTTTTTTTTTTTTTTTTTTTTTTGTTAGAATCTTGCTCTGTCCCCCAGGCTGGAGTGCAGTGCCGCAATCTCAGCTCACTGAAACCTCTGCCTCCCAGGCTCAAGCGATTCTCCTGCCTCAGCCTCCCGAGTAGCTGGGACTACAGATGCGTGCCACCATGCCTGGCTAATATTTATATTTTTAGTAGAGATGGGGTTTTGCTGTGTTGTCCAGGCTGGTCTGGAACTCCTGACCTCAGGTGATCCACCCGCCTTGGCCTCCCAAAGTGCTGGGATTACAGGTGTGAGCTGCCGCACAAAGCCCATTCATTTCTTACACCCCAATTTTAATTTTTAACTTCTCTCACTTTGTATTCTTCAAGAGTTTTTGACTATTCTTAGACCTCTGCATTTACAATTAAATTTAGAATTAGTATATTACATTTCAGGTGAAAATAAATGAAAATTGCAGAGGAAAAATAACTTCAGAAGCCCCTCATTGCCCACAAATTCACATGTAAACTCAACAGCCTGGCATCAATGCCTTCTACAGCCTAACCTTAATCTACTTTTTCAATCTTTTCTCCTGTGCTCCCCAATAACCCGTGTCCTGTGCTCCAGAAAAATTGGAATATTTAATATTTCCAAAAAGACCTCAACTTCTCTAGTCCTCACTGTGGCTTCTCTGCTTATGGAGCTTTGTCCTCTTCTTCTATCTGCTTTTTGGGGGCAGCTCACACACCACCTCTTCCGTGAAGTCTTCCCAGATTCCCAGCAACTGAGAGAACTCCATTAAACCACCAAGCACTTTGAGTCCCTTTCTAAACTAAGTTTCTTGAGGTCTTGCATTTTATTCCTCTTTGTCATGATCTTCCTGTCCCCACCATTTAAAGTACTGCACATAGTTGAGGCTTATTAGGTATTTGAAAATTAACTGTGGCACTTGGATCAGAGTTCTTGGTGCCAGCATACACTTGTCTTCACGGGAAGGACCAACACCATCATAGGCACTGGTCTTGTCAGAGAGCTTGCTGGGTGCCAGACACTGTCCTGAACCTTTACAATGTATCCCGTCACACAATCTCCAAGAAGCCAACAGTAGGTGCCATGATTAACCCTGTTTTAGAAACAAAGAAATGAAAACTGAGAGCAATGAAGCACCTTGCTTAATGTTGCAGAGAAAATAGAAGGGCCAGGGTTCAAATGTAGATTCCTCTCTCAGAAACTTCACCCTCCTCCACAGTTTCAGATAACGTGTCTGTAAATTTCCCAGCAGCAAGGACTGGATCTTTTTACATCGTTGTACCCGCTGCACCGAGGATCTTTCCAAGAAGAGTAGATGCTCTGCACGAGCTGATGTAAGAATGTGACTGAACAGGTATAAAGCACCCAGTACACTGCCTTGCCCATTACATGCACTAAATAAATGTTAGAGATCTTAATGAGCCTACCTGTTCTGCTGTCCTTCCTTCTGCCCCCTCCCTACCCTGTCTGGGCTCTTCCATTGCCCATCCCACTCCCCCTTGTTTGA